ACCAAGTTATGGAATCCCAAAATCACAATAAATTTTATTACATGAATCATCATTATTTAGCATTTTAAGCATATAACTCCAAAGGAGCAACATCATTTGAGGTTCCCAACTACCCCTATTCATCATACATCATCAAAAACCCTAACCATTATATGATCTCATTTAAAACAAAGTGAGGGTGAGAAACCTTACCACCAATAGCTTCCAATGATCCTAGGGATTGGTCTCCAAGCAATGAATCAACCCTAAAGTCACCAAAAATTCCCCAACAATCCCAAATTTTCGTGGAAGAGGGTGAGGATTTCCCCCCAAAACAATGAGTTTCAAGAGTGGAAAGTGCTATGGTTGGGTTTAGAATGCCATTTACTTGAACTTTGATGTGTAACACTTTGGCTTTTGGAGAGGATTTGATGTTGTTTTGGTTGAAAGGAAGTTTGCACTCAAGCTTTGCCCATGGAAGAGAAGGCTACGGGTTGGAGAAGAAAGAGGGGAGAGAGAAGATCAGCTTTTTGTGAGTTTGATGGCTTCCAACCACTTAAATCATTTAAGTGGGTCCCACACGCGTATTAACTTTAATAATTCACCTAATTTAAACCACAAATTCACATCCTACGTATTTTTCTCGTTCACGTCATATTTTTACTTCATAAAAATAATGATAATAATTTCACGCTTAACGGTAATAATTATACTGCAGTATTTTACACCGGAAAAATCACTATTCATCAAATTTTTCGAAACTTGCCTATCCACTCGATTTTAAAAACATAAAGACACTTAACACCACAATAAACTCACATAATTTTATAGACTTAAAAACATAAAACTGACATTTAACGTTTGCTTAATTAAACCCATTAAAAATTAAATTGACTGCTAAATTAAACCCATTAAAAATTAAACTGACATATAACTCCACATTTAACGTTTATCCAACAAAACTCCCCTGTAAACTTAAATGCTTCTGCCATCCTTCATGCCGATCAATTTCTTGCAGTTGTCAAGAAGTACCGTCGGTAGCAGTTTCGTGAAGATATCTGCGACCTGGTCTCGACTTGCCACGTGTACTAATTCTACACTTCCTTCCTTCACATGATCTCAGATAAGTGAAACCGAACGTCGATGTGCTTGCTTCTCTCATGATTCACTGGGTTCTTTGCCAACTCAATTGCTGATTTATTATCAACTCGTATCACAGTCGCACTGAGTTGTTGTTGCTTTAACTTGCCCAACAAATTTCTGAGCCATATTGCATGACATACACACCAAGACGCTGCCATATATTCAGCTTCACATGTTGAGAGCGTCACGATCGGTTGCTTCTTTGAAAGCCAAGTAAATGCTGTGTCACCCATACAGAACACATATCCTGAAGTGCTTTTCCGATCGTCCAAGTCTCCACACCAATCGCTGTCGGAGTACCCAATTAACTTGTAATCTTCCGAATTTGAATAAAATAACCCGAGTGACACTGTTCCTTGGATGTACCGTAGGATTCACTTCAACGCCAAGTAAATGCTGAAGTGTTGTGTCACCCATACAGAACACATATCCTGAAGTGCTTTTCCGATCGTCCAAGTCTCCACACCAATCGCTGTCGGAGTACCCAATTAACTTGTAATCTTCCGAATTTGAATAAAATAACCCGAGTGACACTGTTCCTTGGATGTACCGTAGGATTCGCTTCAACGCCTTCCAATGTGAATAAACCGGCTCCTCCATGAACCGACTTACAATGCCAACACTTAAGAAAGGTCTGGCCTTGTGCTTGTGATATAGCGAAGGCTTCCCACCAAACTCTAATATTTGCTCGCGCGTCGACTCGTTCTCCTCCACCGAACTTCGAGAGTTTTGCACCCCGGTTCCATTGGTGTTGAAACCGGGTTGCAATCTTCCATCTTGTACTTCTTCAAGATCTCCTTTCATATACCTCCTGTGACACAAAAATACCCGTCTCTCCTTGTCTCACCTCCAGAACAAGGTAAAAATTCATCAAACCCAGATCTGTCATCTCAAATTCTCGTGCGATTGTGCTCTTAAACTCTTGTATCATCTCATCATTGTTTCCCATAAAAATAAGGTCATCAACATAAAGAGCAAAAAATAACAAATTACCTTCACTCTTCTTCACATAAAAGGCATGTTCGTAGGGACATTTCTCGAACCCATTCTCCTTAAAGTATGTATCGATACGAGTATTACATGCCCGCGGTGCTTGCTTCAACCCGTAAAGCGCCTTCTTCAATTTTAGCACCTTCTTTTCTTCTCCAATTTTCATGTACCCGGGTGGTTGTTCGATGTAGACTTCTTCTTCGAGCACACCATTCAAGAATGCCGACTTGACATCCATTTGAAATATCGGCCATTTGAATTGAGCCGCTTGTGAAATGAGCAATCAGATTGTCTCCATTCTAGCAACGGGTCGAGTAACTTGTATGCTTTTGTTTTCTCATCATACCCAATAAAAATATACCTTTTGCTTTTGTCTTCAAGCTTCGTTCTTCACTGATCCGGCACGTGTGCATATGCCACACTACCGAATACTTTGAGATGAGAAACTGTCGGTTTTTATCCGCCCCACGCCTCTTACGGGGTTTGATCATCCAACTTCGCATTTAGACACCGATTTTGCACATAGATGGCACATTGCACAGCTTCCGCCTAAAATTCCTTCGGCATCTTCTTGCTGTTGAGCATTGACCAAACCATGTCAAGAATGGTCCTGTTCTTCCTCTCGGCCACAACGTTTTGTTGTGGAGAGTACGGTGCGGTTAGAAACCGCCTTATGCCTTGCTCCTCACAATACTCCATGAAAACTGTCGAAGTATACTCTCCACCTCTATTAGATCATATGGATTTGATGTGTCTACCGGTTGTCTTTTCCACCATCACTTTGAACTTTTTGAACACCTCGAACGCCTCAGATTTTTCTTTCAAAAAATAAACCCAAGTTTTTCGTGAGAAATCATCAATAAAGGGAATAAAATACCTCTTACCGCTAAAAGATTCAGGGGTGATTGGTCCACATATGTTAGTATGAATCAACTCAAGAGGTTGCTTAGCCCGATATTCTGCCTTCTTTTGAAACGAAGTTCTCGCATGCTTACCGAGCACACACTCTTCACAAAACTTTCCCTTGTAGTCCATGTTTAGTAGCCCATGCACCATGTTCTTCTTCGCCAACTCATTTAGACCACCATGATGTAAGTGACCAAAACGGAGATACCACAGCGACGCCTTGTCTTCTATGTCTACCTGCAAATATTTTTCTCGCACGCTTCTCAAATTCAGCTTGTACATGCGGTTTCTCCCCATTTCAACTCGAGCGACCAAACACCCTTGTTTATCTTTCAAGTGTAAAATCTGGTCTTTCATAAGTATTGAATAACCTTTCTCCATGAGGTTCCCCATACTCAAAATGTTGCTCTTGAGGTCTGGTATGTAATACACATCTCGGATTGACCCAACTAAGCCATCCTTTTGTAAGTAACAAATCGTACCTTGGCCTTTGACCTCAACCTTCGACGCATCTCCAAACAACACATGTCCAGTTTCCACCTTTCGCATTTCTTTGAATAGATGCTCGTGCCCGCACATATGGTTGCTTGCACCCGTGTCGAGGTACCACACCATGTCATTGTCGGTGTTGCCTTCATTGTGTGTCATCATGAGAAGACCTTCTTTCGCCTCATCCTCTGTGGCTAGGTTTGTTGTCTTTTCCACCTTTTTCTTGAATCAACATTCTTTCGCAAAATGCCCCACCTGGCCACAATTGTAACACTTATCAGAGTTGCAATCCTTCGCATAGTGACCATATTTGCCACACTTGTAGCACTCGATGTTGGAATAATTCGACCGACCGCCTCTCCCACGACCGCGTCCTCTTCCACGCCAACAAAGTTGGTTTCATTGCCCCTTCTCCTCATAATACCCTTCTTGACCGCGACCTCTACCACCACGACCATTTCCTCGACCTCCACGGGCACGCCCTCTACTCTAAAGTTTTGAGAATAGAGTGCCTTTTCATCTTTGATTGCTTCCTTGGTTTGAAGTGCTTGCTCGAGTGTCTCCTTCTTCTTCTTCTTGCGTTGTTCGTGTGCCTCCAGAGAACCAGCGAGCTCGTCAACCGAGAGCGTTGCTAGGTCCTCTGACTCTTCTATGGCACATACGACATTCTCGAAGCTGTCGGTTAACGACCTCAAAATCTTCTCCACAACTCGTGCATCGGTTAATGCTTCTCCGTTTCGGTTGAGTTGGTTCACCACGTTTTGAACACGCGTGATGTAGTCGGAGACACCTTCCAACTCCTTCATCTTCATGCCTTCCAACTCGCCGCGAAGAGTTTGAAGGCGGACTTGTTTAACTCGATCTGCTCCTTTGTACACCTTTGCCAAAATGTCACACACTTCTTTTGAAGTTGTCGCACTCGCAATCTTCTCAAAACCTGACTCGTCAACAGCACGGAACAACATGTACAATGCCGCCTTATCTTTGATCCCGTCTCTTTCAACGCCTTGTTTTGAGCCGCCGTATACCCCGCGGTAGTTTTCTATTCTTCGAAACCTTCTTGGACCACCTCCCAACCATCTTGAGACCCAAGAAGAGCTTTCATTTGGATGCTCCAATTCTCGTAGTTCGCCTTCGTTAGTCGGGGTATAGCGGCACATTACCGGTCATACTCTCCATTGGCTCTAATACCAATTTGTTAGGAGAAGAGTAAAAACAGAGGATTTTCACTAAGGCAGAAGTCGTAACTTTTAAATTCAAGCAATAATTTTTAAATTACAAAACTTGTAACTCCACAATAAAAAAATATAAAGATACTTAACACCACAATAAACTCACATAATTTCAAAGACTTAAAAACATAAAACTGACATTTAACGTTTGCTGAATTAAGCCCATTAAAAATTAAACTGACTGCTAAATTAAACCCATTAAAAATTAAACTGACATATAACTCCGCATTTAACGTTTATTCAACATGGACCCTATACTAGTTAACACCACGGTCCCACGGTTTCATAAATATTGGGAGACAAACGGGGTTTGATGAGAACTTCAAGGGGAACAACTTTGATGTTGGTTGTTTCTACCACAGCACTCATATCAATAGGTTCACTTGATGTTTTTGAGATTTCAAAGGAGTGAAGAAAGCTTGCCAAAGTCAAATGAGCTGTTCTAAGGCCAAAGGATATTCCAGGACATATCCTTCTACCACTTCCAAAGGGTAAGAACTCAAAATGTTGACCCTTAACATCAACATCTTTGTGTGTAGTGAGGAACCTCTCTGGCTTGAACTCCAATGGTTCTGACCAAATGTTAGGGTCTGTTTGGATCTTCCACAAGTTTGTTATTAGTCTAGTTCCCTTCTTCACATGGTAGTCACCAAACATGCAATCTTCTCTGAATTCACGAGCTCCAGAAAGTGGAGATGCTGGATACAACCTTAGGGCCTCTTTAACAACTGCTTGAAGGTAAACCAGCTTGTTAATATCTGACTCAGTCACCAATCTCTCTTTTCCAATGTGGACATCAATTTCTTCTTTTACTTTTTGCAATGTATGAGGATTGTTCAATAGCAAACACATTGCCCATACATGGGTAACACTGCTGGTGTCAGTTGCTCCCAAAACCAATGCCTGCAAATTGAGTACATATTCTATAAGAAGAAGGCTCTATATGCAATCTAGGCTTATGTGAGGTAGAATGTTCTAGTACATGCATATTTATAAAATATGCAATAAATCCTATATTCAAGATTTGGCACCAAGCTAAGAAAAAACATAACAAGAAAAAAAAACTCATTTTTATTCTGATCAAGGATTTAAATTGTGATTGCAATCATAGTCTTGTTATGGGCTAATCCAGACAATTGTGAGCAGGTGTGGTTGCGGCATGGTAAGAATGGATCCTATGATGTAATATGAGATCATTTGAGATAATCTTAATTTTTTATAAATAAATAAATCAGAGCTATTCTTTCTTCAATTTTTATCTTAATGACCTCTCCATAACTGTTGATTTACTTATGGAGAGTCAGGTTATCTCCAGTGATCTCATATCATTCAAGTGGATTCATTCCTTTGAAATGTTATAAGTGCATCTAAAATCATATGTTTGTTATTAAAAATCCTCAATTGAGAAAGGATAAATGAATTTAATTAAAAAAATGCTATGCAAGTGATACATGGGAGTCGATCTTCTCATGTCATATGATCTGATCTGAGATGATCTTAATTGTTCATTGACAAATCAACTGTTACGGTTGATTCGTTTATGAACGGACAAGATTGCCTCACATGAAATCATTTGACATGAGAGGATCCATTCCCCATATATACGTACCAGTGTTGTGGCTTTGATGATGGTATCTGCATCAAACCCATGAATCGTTGTCCCATCAATCATCGAAAGCATCACATCCATGAAATCTTCATCCCTCGTAACCTTCTCACCAGAACCCCTCTTCAGACGATGCTCTTCAAGCCACTCTGTTACCACACTATCCAATTCCTTAGCATTTTCTTTCATAGCCTTCTCATGTCCTCCAAAATCAAACCATCTAAGATAAGGAATAGCATCTGCAACAGTAAACACCCCAACAAGACGCATGAACTCCCTCAAAGATTTCAAACACCTCTGTGCTTCAATCTCATCAACCACTGCACTTTCCCCAAAATATCTCTTCCCAGCAACCATTCTAAGAGCAGTGTTAAATGCCAACTCATGAAACCACTGCTTCAACTCCACCAACAACAGAAAGTTGTTGTTGTTATTGTCCTTTCCACGTGACCAAGCATTGAAAAGCTCTTTAATTGAAGTCTGCAATTCAGAGACACGAACATGGCTTAGTAGATCAATTCTGTGATTTGAAAGGAATCCTAAAGTGACAATCTTTCTCATCTCACGCCAATAAGAACCATAGGGTGCAAAACCAAGCATGGCTTTGTTATATGTCATGTGTTCACAAGCTACAAGGTTAGGGCGATATGAAACAGCCAAGTCATTTGTGGTGAAACATTCCTTGGCCATTTCATAGTTGCTTATAACCAAAGCACGGGAAGCACCAAGCTTTATGGTGAAAATGGGTCCATATTTGTCAGCCATGGCACCAAGGGTGTGATGGGTTGGTTTGGAACCTGTTAACAATGGAAGGTGACCAAGTATTGGCCATGCACCTTCAACCAAGGGTGGTTCTCTACCATGGGTTGATTTTGAGCGATGGAATAGGAATAAGCAAAGAAAGATTATAGAAAGGATTCCAATTGCAAAAGAGTTTAGGGAATTTTGAGGTAAATAATCCATTTTGGTTGTTATTTGCATGGAGCTTCAAAGCTTGTAGAGATATGGAGGCAATGAGGTTGTTGCTATAGATTTTCTGGTATGTCTAAGGTGTGTTACGGGGTGTCATATATATTATATTATATTATATTGGGAAAAGATTATTTTATTTCGGTATAAAAATAAAAAATCTTACTTTCCATTTCAATCTTTGATTTCTATACATCTCACTATTATCATTTATTAAATTACACTCATTAATTAGTGATTCATTCCAATAAATTATTATTGTCAGATACACGAAGATAAACATTTGACATTCAGAATAAATTTTTTTATTCTTGTACATTAATTAAAAGACTTCTTATTTATTATATTATATCATATTGGATGAGATTGCATTGATGTTAGAGAAATTGGTTGTCAATCAAAGACATGGCAGAATTTAAGGGAAAAACGTAGAGAGGGAATGCTACAAAACACTCAAATAGGGGAGAGATAAGGCCAAACCTTAAAGGGGAATATAGTGTGACGCATGACTAGTAACGGACGAAGAAGGAAGAAGAAAAAGAGATGAGGAAGGAGAAGCTTACAAGAGATGAATCAGGAAAAGCACGAACTAAAGAATCTTTTTCCATATTTGAAAGCCTAATCAAAACAAATATACACTTCCAAAAAAAATGTTGAAATAATAAAATAAATAAATATATAGAACTTAACAGTTAAAGTAAACCAGCCATGCTTTAAAATGGTGCGTCCATACACAAAGGATAAAGCTTGTCACTTGTGCCAAAACTTGTTGCTTTCCATAAAAATAAAAAAATAAAAAAATAGGACATTATATCCTTTAATTATATTCAAAATCTATATTATTTTCTTTCATAAATGGAATGTAATTATTGCCAAATTTGTGTATACATGTATACAAACTCCAATCATTCAAATATGGGTGTGATGTTTGTCATTTTAAATGACATAAGTTATGTCATTTTAAGAGAGAGATAGACACAAGAAATAGAAATCATGGGAGAGAAAGTTGGTAGTTTTTTTTAATTTAAATTTTAAATAAAAAATATTATTTTGTGTCTATCTCTCTCTTAAAATGACATAATTTTATGTCATTTAAAATGACAAACACTTTTCCTTTCAAATATAGTATATAAAAATGCATAAAGAGAGTTTATAACTTTATTTGCAATATTCTAACAAGTTGCATTAGGTGAGTGTATAACACCTTTCTTACCAAGTTCTGATATATGGAACACTATTTTTGCAAATATCTAAAAAATTTGTATGTCATTAATTTAGATGCCAAAATTCTCAAATATTTCATTTAATTTACACCATTATTATTGTTGATTGTCATAAACATTATGTCTCTATTAGAAAGGCTAAGTTGATTTATGCTTATTGAAAATAGTTTTCTCATTTTACATAAGAAAATTTTCTCATATTACATTCACAATTAAAAAATGGAACCCATCTTGATTTTTTTGTTTTCTCACCTTTTTGTGGACCACACTTATGTATTGTGTGTGCAACATGAGAAAATATTCTCATGTAAAATGAGAAAATTAATTCCCATAAAATAATATCAAATATAATCTTAAGGATTTATTGCTTGATAAATTTTATTCCAAATTCAGAAATGCTTTCCTTATATTTTCATTCGCAATCTTTGTTCAAACTACATTGCATAATGAATCAATTTATATAATCAACATTCCAGTATAAAAAAATAAGAGATAATTTATATCAGGAAAGTTTTACATCGATGTTACACTACAATGAGGAAAATATTTTTAGTATATCGAATTGGGTATTTTTTTTTTTTTTTGAATTTGGAAAATTTTTTAATATAGAGGATTGAGGAAAACAAAAAATTCAAAAGTGGTTAAACTTTTTTCAAATTTGAAAAAAAGATGGATCGAATTTGGTACATCTAATACACCAAAGATATTCTCTACAATGAGAATGTAATAACTGTCGCTTGCTATTATTGGCATTTTTTTAAAAGGGTAAAATAATCGGGAGTGGATCCTCTCATGTGCTAGTTAACATGACCATGTTATGTGGAGCAATCATAACCATACATGAGTGAGTTAATGGTGATAGGGACGAAGGAGAGAGAAAAATATAAGAATAGGAAGTTACACAATTATAACCGTTGATTTAATTATTAATGGTTAAGATCCTCTCACATAATATGATCATGTTAAATTACACATCAATTTATAATATTTTTACAAGTCATAAATACGATGTATAAATTCAAACTTTTTTGGTTTGGAACAATTGGTTGACTAATGGTGGGAAAAACAAAATCAGTTAAAGAAGGAAAATAATGAAATTCAAGAACGGGCTTTTTTTATTATTGTTTTCAATGAATTTTTTTTTAAAAGAAGTTCTTCTCAATCTATTTATATATTTAGATATCAATTTAATAGAAAACAAAATAAAAAGCTAAAATATTAAAAAATTTTAAACCACTTCTAGAAAAAGTATTTGGTAGAAGCTAATTTCTTTTTCCAAAACTCTTCTGAGTTGGCGGAGGTGCCCACGCCAGCAACCTCGCCCCTGACAATTTCAAGGAACTTAGCCATGTGTAAGTTATCTTGGGTCTCGTCAACTTTAACGCATGCACTTAAAAAACTTTCTTTCCTCTACTTTTATGCGAATGAAAGAAAAATAAAGACCCCAAAATCTATTTAAAAAGAAGTTAGTTTTTTCTGAAGTTATTTGTATTAAATCAAAAATATATCATTTTGAGCGAAAATCAATATATTTTTATAATTTTAATTTATTTTAAAGTTATAATGATTTTTATTATTATAATTTTTTAATTTTTCGATCCAAAATAACATTATTTTATGAGTGAATGCATATAATTTATTTGTAATCATTATGAAAATAATTTTCTTAAAAAAAAGATAGAGGCATAAACCGAAGATTCAAGCAATTTCAAACTCAAAAGACGTAGAGAAAAAAAATTAAAATTTTCAACTTTGTGAAGAGAAATATATATAAATACCGAACTAAGATACGTAGAAGCAACACAATAACGTTGAAAAAAAAAAAAAAAAAAAACAATAACGTTGGAGCTTTGAAAAATTTGTAAATGCCCATACAACTTCAAAAACACAATTTATTTTTTTTAATTTTTACAAAATGGTGAAAATTCGTAAGCATAATATTTAACCATTCAGTTTGAACTCTTAGCTACCAGTGACATAGTGCTTGACTATTTTCTAACAACGTTGACATGGGACATGAGATATGACAAGACATGACATGGCATAGCGATACATTAATTCTAAAAAATGCTATATTTTGACATGTTAGGACACGTTTTAATATTAAATAATGTTTGTAATATATATATGATATAATTTATATTTAATACATATAACAACTCATAATAAGTCATATAACCAATCCAATATTCAAATTCCATAACACAAACACAAACAAAAATAATTTTTCTACCTTGTTAATTTTTCATGTCAAATTCTATATCATAAAAAATTAATTTATATATTATTTTTTCATGTTTAGTTAATAAAATAAAATTTAGACATAAAAAAAAATGTCAGATGCGTGTCGGAGTGTTGATTACGTGTCGAAAAAATTGGCCGCGTGTCAGAAAAGCGTGTCGAAACACGTCGAAGCTTTTGACTGCATGTCTTCAAATGTTGACCGTATGTCAAAATGTGTCGGAGCGTGTCGGTGTCCAAATGTGTCGGAGTGTGTCGGTGTCCAACACATATTTTTCAAAAAAATTAGCGTGTCCTCCGTGTTTTGTAGGTGCTCAAGCTGTTAAAATGGGGCAACTCACCCTGTAAAATTGAGGGCAAAAAGGTCCACAAGGTTAAGAAGTTTCAAATTACAAAAATTTATATAAGCCAAAAGTTGTATGGGTTAGGATAATTTATGGGCCTTTCAAAATTTTAACATTTATTTTATGGGATTAAAATAAGGGTAATGTATTTCTTCTTTCATGGGGGAAACGATTTTTTCCGGCAACTAATTACAACTATATCTTACTGGTAAGACATAACGACGAGACATAAATATAATTAGTTGCTTCACAAATTTTCTTTTGCCATTGCTTCACAAATAACTGTTTTGAGGTATAAAAAATACTTGCAGCAATGAAGAAACAGGACCAGTTTGATTATGTTCTGAATTTTTGTTCTTAAAATAATTTTGTAGAATAGTTTGTACAATTGTTTTTCAGAATAAAAAAAAGGAAAAAATCCGTTTGATAAATTATTTTTAAAAGAGTTTTAAAACTTTTAAAACAGGAAAATTTGCTTGGTAATTTTATTTTGAGAACATGTTTTCAAAGATAAAAAACACAAAACTCGTTTGATTACTATGTTTTTGTTCAACTTCATTTTATAATTTTTTTAATCATATGTAAAATTTTAAATACATTTTAATAAAATATATTTAGAGCACCATAACAAATCACATTATAATTATTTTTTTAAAATTAAAGTAAATCACATTAAAGTAAAACTTTTAATCGTTATTTAAAATTATTTTTCATTTCAGACTTCTTTTAACATTAAAAAGGGAAAATCATCAATAATGGTTTCGGTCCATTAAATCGGCCAAAAAATAAAGTTCCATGTTGTCAGTTCGGGGATACGTATCTTGTAACCATTAACTAACAAAGATATCTCTGTCAGCATTCAGTTTAACCAGAAGCACTTATAGCGGCTTCAAGCCACTAATTCAGTAATATGACTTACCATCATAGTAATGGAAGCAAGCATCATCATGTCACTCACGTAAACATAATCCTTGCATATGCATAACAGTCACATCGATAAGCAGGTAATATTTTTTTTTTACATTGTTTATACTCAAATCACCAAATGAACACTGAAGATATGGCATCGTCCTGATTCAGAGCTTCAAGAGTAACGTTTCATTATTCTTCATCACTAACGTTACTAAATACATAGGACACTGAAACATTTTGCTTCTTTGCAACATTCTGCTTCTTGACACAAACC